AGGCAGCGGGTCCTCACAAAACTGCATTTATAGGGAGAGGGAGAAATCAACAGGACAATGGTGAAAAGACGCAGATGACTGGTCTGTGAATAATAGCTGCTGATCTCTCCCTGTCCCTCTCTCTGTCTCTCCCTCCCTTCCTCCCTCTCCCTCCCTCCCTCTCTCCCTACCTCTCCCTCCCTCCCTCCCTCTCTCCTCCTTTACCTTTTGTCTTTACCCAAACCAGTGTTCCCCAAACCTACATGTGAATCACTATGCATCTATGGAAGGGTACACCAGCAAAAGCAATACCTGGTTGGCCTTGAGCAAGTTACTTAGTACCGCTGGGCCTCAGCTTTTTCATTTATGAAGTTAGGATCACACACTAGATGCCTTATTATGTAAACTTATAAATAGTGCTGGTGTGGAGATTCTTGAATCCACCTTTTGATGAATAAACACACGCATTGCTGTTGTGTTCTGGGAGTGGAACTCTGGGTCATATGATGTCCGAATGTTCCTCTTCTCGATTCCCTTTCAAGATCATTCCTAGAGATGGATCCAAACATTGTCATGGAGCACACAGCCAGTAAACAGGTGTTTCTATCTTATTCAAAATTCACTGTTAATAAGGCTCAGTGCCAGGGCTCGAAGTACTTGTCAGCTCAGCATCTTCTCTGGCCCAACCTCGGGTAGCCACCACAAAAGAATGCATCCACACCCACACACTCCAGAGCCTGCCTACTTGTGAAGAAAGCCAGGTAGCAGGTGTCCCTTGAGATGGCAGTGAATTGCCTCTCTCTGGCCAGATGAGGCCACATTACCAGGAGCCCACATGGCCAAAAGAAGTGTCTGGGGCTCTGGAAAGTATTCACTCCGCTGTGAGGCCCTTCACAGCCAGCACTACAAAATGAATCTGTCAACAGATAATTTTCCACTGAGCCCTTCTAAACTTCAAGCACCTGATAGATCCTCAATAAAAATAACCATAAGAGTTCAGGGTAGAGTACCCTGCAATAGCATTTTGTAAGAGAAATTTGTGTTTTAAGCACTTTTCAGCAAACAGGAAGTTTCTCCAAAGAAAGCACTTAAAACACTATTTACAAAAGGAGGTTTGGAATGTCAATTTCTGGTTTAGAGAAATGGGTGGAGTTCTGAGAACAGGGTTTATCAAAGTACAGTCTATAGACCAGCATCAGCATAAGCATCAGGTAGGTGGCTATTAAAAATTTTAGATTCCACTCCCGGCTGCTGTGGCTCAGTGACTGAGCATCGATCCATGCACCAAGAGGTCTCTGGTTCAATTCCCAGTCAGAGCACATGCCCGGACCATGGGCCCAATCCCCAGTGAGGAGCCAATCGATGTTCCCTCTCATTGATGTTTCTATCTCTCTCGCCCTCTTCCTCTCCTTTCCTCTTTCTCTAAAATCAATACAGAAAAAAAGTAAAATAAAATAAATTAAAAATTAGATTCCAGTCCCCACCCCAGAATCAGAATCTCTTAGGTGGAGTCTAGAAGTTTGTCTAGAAGAACCACTCACAGGTGGTACTTGGGCACAGAGCCCATGATCTGGGCTGCACTGCCCGCTGCAGAGTCTCCATGCGTCTGGGGCCAGGCACGTACACAGGCAAAGAGAAATGATCCTATCATTTACCCCCGAGCAACTCTCCTGGTTCTGGGGCAAGGTCCAATTTCTTGTTTGCAAGACTCTTCAGATCCTGGTCTCAAGCGGATCTGCTGGCTTTTGCTTTTTCCTGGGACATTGTTGGCTAAATTAAATTGTCTACACAATTTTGCCTCTGTTGGCGACAGTGCCTTCTCAGTTGCCCCTCTTGTTTGAGACAGCTCTCTGTGGCTTTCTCCATGTCACTCTGAATGCTCTTTGAAAACCTCCTTTGTCCTCATCAGCCGTCCACTTCAGAAGTGCTGGTGTTGTTCCGAGGCAGGGTTTGGGATGCCATGTAGAAAAAAGCTATGATTGTATTAAAAACCAGAAGAGGGTGAGCAGCTAACACAACACGAATACAGCCTAAGCACATGCTGTACCAGGGGAGAGAGAGAGAATGCTTTGTTGTGACTCTGCTTTGTTTCTGAGGTCTGAGTGCTCCACGTGAAGTCCTCGCAGACTTGCCAGTGAAGCGTACAGGGTTCCAGCTTGGCCAACTTATGAGTTCTGGGGCCGAAGCCCTGCCTCCTGAGAGGCGCCAGCCTAACTGCCTAAGATTCCCTATGGATGGGGGAAGGGTTCTGATGCTCTTGGGTTCTGGTGGCGTCTCCCCTGGGCCCCCACACACATATATCTAGTGTGTTCTTCCTCAGAGCTTAGCCCTAGAAATCCAAGTTTCCTTCCACAAATTCCACCAAACGCTATAAACTTCTGCTCTGATATAAAAATTTCAGGCCCTGGCCAAGTAGCTCAGTTGTTTGGAGCATTGTCCTGATGCACCAAGGTTGTGGGTTTGATCCCTGGGTAGGTCACATACAAGAATCAACCAATGAATGCATAAATGGATGGAGCAACAAATCAATGTTTCTTTTTCTCTCCCTTCTTTTCTCTCTAAAAATCAATAAAAAAATAAAATAAAATCATATAAAACTTCACATTTCCTCCTTACCACCATGTTGATTTGGAAACGTTTTAAGTAGAAGCATAGTCACATACTCTGGGACACTTATTTCAGTGACAGTTTCCCACCACAAGGAACACTGAAATATAACAGGAAATGGTGAGTATGAATAGGCAGTCCTGGGCTAAAATTGAATGGTGGAAACTTTATACCAAAATGTTTTCCACAAAGGTTCACTTTCTTTAGTTTTGATGACTGCCCACTGGATCATTGTGGCCACATGCCACCGACCAACCAGGAAATTGGAAAATAAATAAATAAACTGTTTCAATGGACTTTCAGGAATTCTGGTTTTTTGTTTTTGTTTTGTTTTGGGTTTTTTGGTGGGAGCATAGAAAAAAAAAATGGTACTCTGACCCACACTGAAGAAATAGAGGAGTTTGGAGCGCAGCGTGTTTAATTATGAAAACTATACGATTATCATTTCATAAGAATAGTAGAGAAAACCTGACAGAGAGGGAAAGGAAGGGAACTGGCATCTAGGGAGAATCTATTCCACGCCAGCATTTTGCTAGGAATGTTAGAGACTGCTACTTCATTCCCTAAGGTAAATATCATTTACCCTGTGCTCCTCCCTTTTAGGTTAGAAAACAGGTCCATTAAGGTTAGGCAACTTGCTCATGGTCACCTACTTGTGGTGACCAAGCAGGAATTCCGATGTAGCTCACTTTTCACTCTTCCCTGGTGTCCTGAAGAAAAATCTGTATGGAGTCCTAATAATATCTCTACTATGTTCAGGCAGTCTCGTTGTTAAAATAAATAATGCCATTCAGTAAGAAGTACCTATGCTGTACACCTGCAGAACAGTCATTTCTAGTTATATTCATACTATTTATTTTAATGCCAATCAGAAGAACCATGAATAGGGTCTGAAATAGTTGTTAAGTAGCCATTGAATATCAAAGTGTTAATTTTACCCAATTCCAAGAGGACCAGACATTAGCATTCCTGTGAGGTAGATGCAGTATTTATAAGTGTTCCCAGTGCCCTCTGAGTCCTGGTCTCCCCACAAGGCAGACACACGTGGAGATAAAAGATAATAACTGAGGACTAAGGCCCAAGGAATTACACCAGGGAGAATAAGGAAGGTCTCTGAAGCTCAACGAGTCTGTGATTATTTGGGGCCAGCTTCAACTCTCTGCATTCTCCTTCTGCTGAAGTATCACTTGTTTTTAGATAAAAGCGTGGTGTAGACCACAGTGAATCCCAACTTCAAGATGTGAAACGGGACAAACCTATAGAGTTTGGGAATAAATAGGGAAAACTTGCTCTCTCACAATAAGTCACCCTCCCTGTTACTTTGTTAGTATTAATCTGTTCTTGCCTGGACTATATACCCTCTACTGACTTGGCCCTAAAGCAAAAGCGGCACAGGCAGATAAGGTGGGAACAGAAAGTGAACTTCCATCCCAAAGACCTGAAGCAATGCCTTGACTATCTCCACTCGGCTAGCAAATAAAGCTGAGAGTCTAGCTCAGCCAAAGGCCAGAAAGGAAGCACAAAAACTCGAAAAAGAGCTTAAACCTCACTGTTCTTTGAAAAGGCAGTTCAGTCAGGGTGTGAATTTAAAAGTCATATACATGTAGCACTCCCTCTCATTATTTACTGATGCTCTCTTGAGGTTTAACCTTACATAAACTCAGCTTAGCTGCAAAAGCAAGATGGCACGGGGATCTCAGTGTGCATTTGAAGAAACCCCAGGCTCTTTCCTCGACTTGCTGTTCTCTATCTCCTTTGAGCCGAGTAACAGCCTTTTATGCCACTCTCATAGTATGTCACATATGTCCTTCCATTTTGGGTTATTTTCAAAGCCAGAAGATCCCGACCCACGTGCGTGTTCCAGAGCGCCCAGTTCCAAGCGTGGCTGCGGGTGGGCGCATCAGTAAACGCGGGTGGAATGGAACAGGATCCTCCAACGTCTTTTTCCACCTCCGATTTCCGTTAAACCTTGGCTCTGGCCACAGCGCGCAGCCTCCACAGGGCCGTCTCTGGGAGGCGAGGTTGGACACTGGGAGGACAGTGGCCCCGGGCTCAGGGCGCACTTCCTGCGGGGTGGCGGGCGGGGGCGGAGCTGCCCGTCTCCCGCCTCCCTCTGGGCCCCCGCCCCGCCCCGCCCCACCCCTCCTGGGCGGCCGAGGCGCCGCGGGGGCGGGGCCGCGGGCTGGCTGGGCGGCGTGGCGGTGCTGGCTGGCCGCCCGCGGCCAAGGTGCGAGCGGGCCGCGGCGGACTCGGGCGTGGAGCGGGGGCGCGCGGCGCGGAGCAGCCCAGCCCAGCGCGGGCAGAGGCGAGTCGGCGGGTGGCGGCGGCGGCGGCGGCGGCGGCTTCCAGCCCGGCCGGTGCAGGGCCTCCGACAGAGCTGCGGCCGAGCGGGGCCTCGCCAGGCAGTGCACGCCATGTCGGGCGGGCTCCCCAAGGCCCTGCCGTCCACGGGGCCCCACTCCTTGCGCGACATGCCGCACCCGCTGGCCGGCTCCAGCAGCGAGGAGGCCGTGGGCGGCGACAGCACGCCCAGCCCGGACCTGCTGATGGCCCGCAGCTTCGGCGACAAGGTGGGGCGCGCTTAGCTAGGGATTGGGAGGTTCATTTCTCTCCCGAAGGGGATGATGGATTCCGAGCTCCCTTTGGCATCGGGCCTCCCCCACCCAGGCGCCCCTTCTCGGGAGGCGGCCGTGCCCTCGCCCCCAGAGCCTTTGGGAAAGGCATCTCCTCTCTGCGGTCCCTATCAGGGTCGCAGCCGCAGGGGAAGCGCCAGAAGGGACGGGCTTGCCAGGCTGGGACTGGTCTCAGCGCTGGTGACAGCTGGAGGGGAGGGGTCCCGTCTGAGGGCTGGGGCCGGAGGCGTGTGTGCAGCGCGGGGCGCCGGTGTCCTGGGACGAGGTCCCAAGTTCCTCTTGGTGCATCCCTGATGGCTGGGCTGCGGAGTAACTTGTAGCTCCTCCAGTTGGCCGGGGCTGCCAAGAACTAAGAGTTAATGGCTTTCTGGTGTAGGTAGGACTGGGCAGCTTCGGTCTTACTGCCAGTCACCTTCCCCACGTCTGTCCTGTGGGGAGGGATCTTTGTTTAGGTTTGTTGTGTGCCCTGAGAAGTCACCTGACTCAAACCCCAGCCGGAGGCGGGAGGAGACTCAGCTGTGGTTTTCTGTCTGGGGCTCCCTTCACCTCTGACGGCCTCCCACACTGTTTAGGTTTGGCAGAGGGTGGTTTTGTGGTCGATGGAAAGAGAGCTCGCCCTTTGACCTTCTTTGTGCAGAGAGGCTTCTGATTTTCTTAGAGCCTCTTCACCCTCCTGCTGCTTTGAGAAACAGCAGAGTCCAGGGACCGGTAAGGGGCCGCCCCCCACCCCTCCCCATTTCAGCCTTGAACAGGACTTGAGCTGTGATTGTATTAGCGCTGCTGTTGACACTTGTCACTAATTGCTGAAATTAGAATTGTTCTCGACACTTGTGATCAGGATTTCCTCCTCCTAGTAAAATATGAACTGAGTTCCTTCTTGTCCTAATACTAAGTGAAATTAAGGGACCGAACTTTCCCCCTTAGATGGGAGGGCATGAGGTACAATTAAAATGAGTATGCCTGCACTGAGCGCTCACAACAGCTAGGAAGGGGTGCTTGATATGCCTTCTTTAGAGGGTTTGTAGAAACAAAGAGTGGGGAGTTTGGGGTAAAGCATTAGAAGCAAGAAGACTTAAAAAGCGAGTAAAACTGTGTGTGTGTGTGTGTGTGTGTGTGTGTGTGTGTGTGTGTGTGAGGGGGCGCTCTTTGTGATTGTTTTTATTCATTTTGTAGATTATAAACTATATGAAGGCTTATGTTGCTTGGAAATACCTTCTCCATATTTGACACTCAATAAGAAATTGTTGAAATGACTGAATGAATAATTTGTTGCTTTCTTATGGAAAGAATAATTATCCTACCTGTATGTTGGTTAGGAACTGAGGTTAACTCTTGATTTCCATTTCAGGTCTGTGTAGTATAGTCAATTCATTATCTATTGCTGTGTAATGAATTTCTCCAAAATTCAGCACCTGAAAATAGTACCTGTGGGTCAAAAATCTGGGAGCAGTTTAGTTGGGTAGCTCTGACTCAGGTCTTTCATGAGGTGGTCGGCAAGCTGTTGACTAGGGTATAGGTCATCTGAAGACTGGATGGGGGAGGTGAGCTTCCAAGCTCACTCATTTGGCTTTTGGCTGGCCTTAGATCCTCTCCATCAGGCTGCTTGACGTGGCAACTGGTTTCCTCCAGAGCAAGTGATCCTAGAAAGCAAGAGATCGCAGACTCAAGCCCCAATCTTGTATAATCTAATCTTGGAAGTGACACCCCTCTGCCATGTTCTGTTGGTCACAGACCATTGCTGGTACAATGTGGGAAGAGGGTATGAATGAGTATAGGTCTTCGAATAACATCGCTTTGTCATAATGTTGATGAGATGCCGTAGGAAGGTAACTCTTGTTTATATAATTAGCCTGTGGCTTCGTTATATGTAGTTTCACTTAAAATTGAGAACTGATCAACAACATTAAGTTAGGTCTCTTTGGGGCCATCTTGGAGGCTGGCTACTAGAGGTGGCTATTTAAAATATTTGCTTAATGATCCACTCGTGGAGTATACCTGACTCAGAAGTATGGGCATTTTACTAATAAGTATTGGGAGGACAAATGTCCTGTACCCCCAAGATCTTGTTCATGGGCAGGAGGTCAGGCCCAAGTCTAATTACTGCTGACTGCCTTTATGGTTCTATGAAGCCCTTATTATTAATTATTGAATATTTAATAAGTCTCCTTACAGCTGTAAGGAACATCAAAATAACATCACTCCAAGGGCCTGATTTATAGTAAGCCACTTTTCCTTAGAGGCTAAGCAATGTAATTTCTTTCTCTGACTGGGAGCAACATTTTCCTTGAATTTTGGCATGCACATATGTTTCCATAACTCTGGAGAAATCTCTGTAAAGGGAAGCAAGTAAGCAACAGATGAATCAAGCCCAGTGGAAGGAAGGCTTCCCTTTGGCCTGCTTTTGCTTGCCTACGCAGCATGCAGGGCAGGTGGGAACGTTCAGTGCTCTGGTCTGTCTTTAAAAAGAAGCCTGTTCTCTTGCCTTTTTGGATATTAGGGTTGTGATCCTGGATGCCCTCTTCAGAGTCAGTTCTGGGCCTGGAGAATGAGGATTTGACAGGCTGCTTATAGTGCAGGGTTATTATATTACGTGAAGGGAATTGCTTTCCATGGGCCTGAATTGCATTCAGGATGGTGCCATGTATCGGGAAGTCTTGTGTCTCGGTCCAGCTTCTGAATGGCTTCTAAGGTCCTGGGAAGGAGTCCATATGTGATGGACCCCCCATCCACAAAATCTAAAATTATTCAAACCATGGAGGGTGGGAGGAATCTGTTCTATCTACCAAAGTTGCTAGGACTAATTCTTTTAATGCCACCTAAACTCATCAGGTCATGTCACTCTGTCCTTCATCTGCACCTAAAATGTAAGTAAACCACTGCTCCATGTCTCTTTTTTCCTTTCATGTGCAAACTGCTCTGGGCTGCTTCTACCCTGACTCAGCCGCCTCCAACTCCTGTTTGCCTCCCAAAACTTAACATCAAGCCCTCTTCCGCCCCAGCTGTGGTTAACACCCCTACCCACATCCTCAACCTCTTTACTGAACTCTTCCACATGCTTTCTGTCCCTTTAGGTTATTGCTTTCCCTGAAGTCTTTGAAATGGAGGTGTCTTTGTTGTTGCTGATAATCCTCACCAGAGGATATTTTTCCATTGATTTTTAAATAGAGAGATAAGGAAGAGGGGAGGCAGGAAGAGGGGAGGAAGAGAGACAGAGAGAGAAAAAAAGAAACATCGATGTGAGAGATGTTAGAGAGACATATCAATTGGTTGCCTCTGGCAAGATCCGACCAGGGCCAGGGATCAAACCTGCAACCCAGGTATGTGCCCTTGACTAGGAATTGAACTCCAAATCCTTCCGGTCCATGGGCTGATGCTCTAACTGCTGAGTCAAACCTGCCAGGGCTGAAATGGAGGTGTCTTTTACTTCTATACTCCACTTACATCAGGTTCAGGAGACAGAAGTTAGTGTCTTCTCTCTCCATTGCCTCCTATGAGCCAAGTTCTGTTCTTTTGAGTCTCATGTCTTTTTTTTTATCCTCATTCGAGGACATTTTTGCATTTATCTTTAGATAGAGCAGGAGGGAGAGAGGGAGGAAGAGAGAGAGAGAATCATTGATGTGAGAGAGACACATCAAGTGGTTGCCACCCGCACAACCCCAACCAAGGCCAGGGACAAACTGCAACTGAGGTACATGCCCTTAGTGGGAACTGAACCCAGGACTCTCTGGTCCGCGGGCCAACGCTCTAACCGCTGAGCCAAACTGGCCAGGGCTGAGGCTCATGTCTTTTTATTTGTTTGTTCAGCAAATATTTGAGGGCCTGTTAAGAGTCAGGTGCTATTCTGGGAACTTGGGATGAATCAACCAGTTAAAGACCCCTGTCCTCATTGGGTATTTATGTAATATTATGTAGCATATTATGTAGTACATGCTATGGAAGGAAGGAACGGTAGGGCAGGGAGGGGAGTGTTCAGGGTCACTGGCCATGGGATGGGGATTCGGGTGGGCCTTATTGAGAATTTGAGATTGGAGCAGAGACTTAAAGACAGTGAGGGAATTTGCTAGTGGATGTCTAGAGGAGTGTCCAGGTGGAGGGGACAGCCAAAGCAGAGGTCCGAAGGCAGGGAATAGCCCAGAGGCCAGTGTGGCTAGGGTAGAGTGAGCAGTGGAAAGTCATAGGTTGAGGGTGTGGTGCGGTGGGGCCTGGTAGGCCACCCTGAGAACTTGAGCCTTTCCTTTGAGAGCCATTGCAGGGTCTTGAGCAGAGAAGGAGGGCATGGTTTGGCTTATGTGTTGAAAAGGATCACACAGGCTATTAAATTGAGAAGCCTTTATTTGACTATTCTACTGCATTAGGTTTCTTTTTAGTTAAAAGGACACAAACCCAAGGCAAACTGGCTCATGTTGTTGAAAAACCCCAGGTATCTGGCTTCAGGGATGGCTGGAACTAGGTATTCAAATGATGTTGGGAATCTGCCACTTTCCGCTTGGCTCTGCTTTCTTCTGTGTTAGCTGGATTCCCTAGCTCGTGAGGGGCTATGTTATACAAACAAGCTCCACAACTCTAGCAGAAAGAGAGCACCTCTTTCTTGATAGTTCCAGCCAAAGCTTGGGCTCGTGTCTCCCGGGCCTAAACTGGGTCAGGCGCCGAAACCAGTCTTTGTAACTCTGTTTGCCCAGACCTGACACTGGTCCTTATCTTTAGAACGTGGAAAAGGGAAGTTTTTGTATGTTTGCTTTGTTGTTTATTTTAACTGTGAAATCTTTATCCAAAGTATATGAAATGTATCTGTATAATCTAAAGAATAAAATGTATCGATATGGTTTGAAGAATAATAACATAAAGACTCATGTTCCTACCCCCCCAGGTTAAACTATAGAACATCACTAATATTTTGGAAGTCCCCTCGGTGCCCAGGGAGGAGAGAGGTGGCTTCC